TAAGCAATAACAGAAGTGCACACTTCTTTTTACGATCACGACCTAGTTTTCAATTTAAAATACGTTTAGTACGGTTGACGGTCGTCGAAGGAATGGTCACCCTGGGAGACGCCTTGTCGCACGAAATCGCATCGCAGCCATTCGCATCGTAATTTTCTGCGTTGCGAATTCGCATCGCATCGCAGTTTTGTGTAGGAGCCCTTAGGGGGAAGACCTTTGTCTAGCAATGGACGTCTTTCGGCTATTGATGATGATGTTGATGAATTCTTGTGTTGGATAATCATTTTATCGAGGAAGGCTATAAACCATCACGCTGCGATCAATAGAACCCGAAAAGAGCGAATGATACCGCGTGGTAGTAGTAAATGATAAACTATTTCAAACTACAATAGTTGAAAAAATACACAACACGCTTTCATTCACCCACAGTCCGTTAAAATGCCTATAGGTTTGTTGAGCGATTACATAAGACATGGTCTAGAGGTCAGTGGGTCAGAGACCCGGCTGGCAAACCTCGCAACACAGCTGTTTGGACTTTGAACTTTAGACACTACATCTTTTTTGAAAAGTTGGGTAAATTCCGTGTCTAAATTCCTAAGCCTAAACCTTTCTCTGGAATCACTATATCTATTAATAAAGGGAATGTGTCGTGGTGGCCTGGAGGTTATAGACGCCCAGCTCTCATGCATGAGAGTGCGGGTACCTATCAACGGCAAGTACCAATGTGACTTTTCCCGAGTTCTATGTACTTTCTAAGATTATCTAGACACCACTGACAAACGGTGAAGGAAAACATCGTGAGGAAACCTGGTATTATAATTTCTAATTATAAGTTTGAAATCGCCAACCCGCATTGAGCAAGCGTGGTGATTAATGTTCAAACCTTCTCCGTGTGAGAAGAGGCTTTGCTCAGCATTGGGCACATAGGCTGTTGATGATGATGATGATGATTAAAAAAGCACTGTTCTGAAAACCGCGTCAATTTCGGTTCAGTCGTTTTCCAGTTTAGTTTAGTTTCTGCATGTATCCATATTTAGGGAACAGAGAGTATAGTTCCCTAAGATCGGAAAAGGAGGATCCTCCGACCAGGCGAGGTGATCGTGCCTGGCGGGCTTTCTGCCCAACAATCGTTCGTTGGGATTTTCTACCCGTGTTAATTCGCTTGTAAACTTCACATGTGCGATGTAGGATTTTAATGACGTCATCCGTTGATTTGTTTACATCGATACCCATATACATACAACTGAAAATATATTTTTTGAATTCGGTTAAAAAACTCGATAAAAATCCGTAGTTTTAAAGATCTAAGCATTCATATGGATAGACATACGGTGGATAGCGACTTTGTTTTATACTATGTAGCAATGAAACAGCAAGACGGCTCGTACACAAAACTGCAATGCGACGTCGCATCGCATAAATGTGCGAGCTCCCTCAACGCATCGCAAGAACTTGCGAATTGATTCGCATCGAACATCAAAATCTTATCTTTCCAAAATCTTCTTTATTTTCTTTTCCTGTATCTCCTAAGCAATAAAAGAAGTGCACACTTCTGTTTACGATCCATGTCACGACCTAGTTTTCAATTTAAAATACGTTTAGTACGGTTGACGGTCGTCGAAGACTGGTCGCCCTGGGAGACGCCTTGTCGCACGAAATCGCATCGTAGCAATTCGTGTCGTAAATTTTTGCGTTGCGAATTCGCATCGCATCGCAGTTTTGTGTACAAGCCCTCTAATATTTGATCCTAAGTATCCACAACAAAAATGAGAAAAGGTTTACAGTCAGTCTATGATAACCTAATCTGTTGATTCAGTCGGTAGATTTGGCTATCTGTTAGTTTTTATAATAACCATCGTTACATGTGTGTGTGGGAGACCCATGCTTCGAATGGGCCAACTCGACCGGAGTGATACCACAGCCTCACAGAAAACGGACGTGAAACACCGTGTGCGTTGTGTTGCATTATGTGAGCTAGGTTGCTGGAAATCCCCGCTCCCCAATCTCCTCAATCCCCGAATCAAATACAATCCCCAAATTCGTTGTATCGCCTGTAGTGTTCCAAGTGTCCATGGGCGACGCCGATTGCTTACCATCAGGTGATCCGTCGTCTCGTTTACCGGCTTATCCTATAAACTTACTCAGTTACTCACGTAAATATACTTAGAAAAGCTCTACTAATATCGAGTTACAGAGAGACTTCCTCATGACCAACGTGCGCGCTCGCGGCGATGTAGGCTGCGCGACATCGCATCCGTATGTGACTCACTACAAGTAGAAGTAGTAAAGCTTTTCTGTCTGTTAATACAAAACTAGACTAGATATATTTTGTAACATATTTCATGAGTAAGAACCAACACAAGTATTTCACAAGATCCTCCACTCGAACGGTTCTATATTGCAATTCTAAATCGCATCTGATGAAGGTCACGGAATGGAATGAAAAGATGTATGAAAGAGGTATTTTTCTTTTTTTATGTGGTAACGAGTAGACGGTCACGGATCACCCGCAACACCAGAGAAGTTATGTGTGTTACCGGCCTTTTGCGGGTTAGGAATATGGGAATTGGGAATTGTGGATCGAGGAGATAGGGGAAGATAGGTAGGCTCCTTCCGTACGTTTATGCAAACAATGGCTCTTCTCAGGTAAGGTTTATCAGAGAGCGATCGATCTCTTTGACTGCATTTTGGTGTTACATTGTTCTCACACAATCGAACCAATAAAACTATGTAACTAGAGAATTGTATTGTAAACCTGATTGAAAAAGAGTAACCTATGGAGGTTCTTGCTCGTTCTTCTACATTACATTATTTTTTAAGTGTGGGAGAGCCATGCTTCGGCACGAATGGGCCGGCTTGACCGGAGTGATACCACGGCCTCACAGAAAACCGACGTGAAGCAACGCTTGCGTTGTGTTTCGTCGTGTGAGTGAGGTTACCGGAGGCCCAATTACCTTCCCCTTCCCCAATCTCCCCAATCCCTGAATCCCCAACGATCCTCAAACTCCTAATCCCCAAAAAGCCGGTGACGCACTCGTAACGCCTCTGGTGTTCCAGGTGTCCATGGGCGACGCCGATTGCTTACCATCAGGTGATCCGTCTGCTCGTATACCGGCTTATGCCATAAAAAAAAAACAAAAAAACGGGAATCTAAACTTTGGAATGAGCAAATAGCTTCACTTTCAATTTCTTATTGACGTTCAAAAGTGCCTTCCTGGTCTAATTTTTTTTTTAAATTGAAATTAATGCTTTTGTCTTCTGACAGCGGTGCTGCCTTACCCCTATCATGAGTAGTCCCTTAGTCGGGTATAAGACACCCGCGGGAAGAGCAACGGTGGTGACATAATGTATTCTACTCTACCGTCATCGCACATCTGGTTGTACACCGCACGGGTATCGAACTGACCTCAAATCAGTCGGCTATACGACTAATGATATGTATGACACAGTGAATGAGATTTTTGTGTAAAATTAATTATTTCGGCCACGAAACACGTGCACAGACAATTGCATAACTTTCATATATATATACACTAGCTTTTACCCGCGGCTTCGCTCGCGTCACTAAAGGATAAAAAGTAGCCTATGTGACATATGCCAATACACAGCGCCATCTATACCAATAATTTCGTTTTCCCTCGAGAATATCAATTTTTTCCGGGATAAAAAGTATCCTATTTAATTATTTAAAATTTAAATTAAATCCAGACTTCTAACTTCACGTCTGCAAAAATTCAAAGCAATCGGTTTAGTAGTTACAGCGTGAAAGTGGAACAAACAAACAAACTCACTTTCCGATTTATAATATTAGTAAGGTATAGTATTAGTAAGTAAGGTAAGTAACATACATACATATTTTAATGAATTAAAAAATTCTTGAATATTAATTTTTATAATACATTAATTCTTGCTTTATTTGGTTTACCTACATAGTTATCTCATCAATTGAGCCAAAATACTTAGGGTTGATTCTCGATTCGAGTAAGACATGTTTCATTTTTTTTATATTATCTGCTGTAGATTTAGGGGCTTGTGGTGACAATACGACCACGCCAGCCCCAACATGTTTCATTAATAACTAAGAATATTGTTTTTGGAATTAACATAACATAACGTCACGTCTTTTTATCTCCGAAGGGATAGGCAGGGGTGCACAATGTAACACCCACTTTTCACTATTTATGTTATGATTCCCATGTAATTATGTGAGCCTATTGCCATATACCGGGCACAATTCCAGACTCCGTGCTACTACTGAGAATTTATTTAAAAACCCAATAATACTTTGTCCGACCCGGGAATCGAACCGGAGACCCCTTGCCCGGCAGTCGCACTTGCGACCACTCGGCCAACGAGGCAGCAAAACATATAATTTTTTAACTAAAACGCAAGCAAAACCACTAACTAAAACTAGTATGTAATCTAAGTAACAAACACGGTGTTAAGAACTCTATTATAAACAAGAGAAAACTTACATTTAGAAATTGTACATAAACAAGTTTACATAGTACATAGTAAGTATTACATAATGACTTGAACTGGGTCAAAAACATGATTGAACAGGTTATCTAAATATTTATAATGTAGGCACTAGTATATACTAACTTCATACGGCCCTAATTATGTCCATTAAAGTGTGGGAGCACCATGCTTCGGTACGAATGGGCCGGCTCGACCGGAGTGATACCACGGCCGAGCAGAAAACCGACGTGAAACAACGCTTGCGTTGTGTTTCGTCGCGTAAGTGAGGTTACCGGAGGCCTAATTGGAATGATGACAGGGTATGAAAATTAAAAATCGAATTAGTCCGTAAGTTAGGTAATGATGAAATATTAGACACATATTTTTTTATTTTGTTCTATAATAAAACTATACTAACTTGGATAAAATTATTAGGAGTAACGAGCTAAAACGTCATTTCTACGTATAAAATGTTCATAGAAGTGACGTCACGCGACATTTCAAATCAATATATCGTCAAAAGTATTCGTTTCTGTAAGAAAATTAAAAATACGTGTCTAATGATTTAAAATAATCTACCAGACGGACATTAAAATAAGAATTAGGCATCTACCCTATTACCCTCCCCAATCTCCCCAATTTCCGAATCCTTCACAATCCTCAAATTACAGATTTCCAAAAGGCCGGTAACGCACTTGTGTTTCAGGTGTCCATGAGCGCCGCCGATTGCTTTGTCCGGCTTCGCACGGGTTCAATATTCATGTATTAGAATACATATAAACCCTCCTAAAAATCACTCTATCTATTAAAAAAAAACGCCTCAAAATCCGTTGCGTAGTTGTAAAGATCTAAGCATACATAGGGACAGACAGACGGCGGATAGCGACTTTGTTTTATACTATGTAGTGAAGAACGCGGTCGAAGCTACGGGCAGAGGCTAGTCTCAGATAAGCTTGAACTTTTTCAATTGCAATCTATCCAGCTTGGAAATTATTACAAACAGCAGTCGACTGTGCGCTTAATATTCTCTTTTAAACAAGACACACAGAAAGAGGCCCAATTACCCCCTTCCCCAGTCTCCCCAATCCCCGAATCCCCCACAATCTTCAAACTCCTAATTCCCAAAAGGCCGGTAACGCACTTGTAACGCCTCTGGTGTTCCAGGTGTCCATGGGCGACGCCGATTGCTTACCATCAGGTGATCCGTCTGCTTGTTTACCGGCTTATCGCATAAAAAAAGAAGATATGAAAAATGCTATCATCATCATAGCGTACAGCCACGTACTATCCACTACCCCCCACAGTCCTCCCCCCAATGACTACACATCGCGAGGTTGGGAGCCACCTGCGTACAGCTGCCCTCGCAGACTTTTATCAGTTAGACATCATCTGTTAGACATCCTACGCTGTGCTAGCTTGCGATGTATTGATTACTTAAAAATAAATGGATGGATAGAAATAAAGAGGAGAATGAAGTGAGGACTGCCTCGTTGGCCGAGTGGTCGCAAGTGCGACTGCCGGGCAAGGGGTTTCGGGTTCGATTCCCGGGTCGAGCAAAGTATTACTGGGTTTTTAAAAATCTCAGTAGTAGCACGGAGTCTGGAAATGTGCCCGGTATATGGCAATAGGCTCACCCCCTATTACATGGGACTCATAGCATAAATAGTGAAAAGTAGGTGTTACATTGTACAGTGGCATTAAGTGCTGAAATGTGCACCTCTGCCTACCCCTTCGGGGATAAAAGGCGTGATGTTATGTTATGTTAAATGAAGTGAGGAAGGGTCGTGCTTCGGCACTGCTATGTCGGTTCTACCGGCGTGATACCACGGCCTCACAGTACACCGGCGTGACACTACCACAGCGTTGTGTGTAGCTTTGTCAGTGTGATTACCGTTGACCCTATCCTCCCAATTTCCATCTCTCATCTCCAACCCCCAATACCCTCAAATCTCAAATATCTAACCCCCAAAACTTAGGCAGGCATTTGTAATTTAATGTACGTAATATTGCCATATCCATTAAGTGTGGGAGAGCCATGCTGAAGTGTGGGAGAGCCATGCTTCCGCACGAATGGACCGGCTCGACTGGAGTGATACCACAGCCGAGCAGAAAACCGACGTGAAGCAACGCTTGCGTTGTATTTCGTAGTGTGAGTGAGGTTATCGGAGGCCCAATTACTGTCCCCCTCCCCAATCTCCCCAATTCCTGAATCCCCAACGATCCTCAAACTCCTAATCCCCAAAAGGCCGGTAACGCACTTGTAACGCCTCTGGGATTCCGAGTGTCCATGGGCGACGCCGATTGGTTACCATGAGGTGATCCGTCTGCTCGTTTACCGCGACCGTTTACCGTACCGTTTACATATGCCATAAAAAAATCCATGGACGGCGACATTCACTTACCATCAGGTGATCCATCTGCTCGTTTATCCCATACAAAGAAGGTTCAGAGTCTATCAGTAGACTCTTATTTCGCGGAATAATGTAGGTAATTGTACATTATGTGTTTATGTAGGAACTTAGTGCTGGGCAGTGAAAGTGACTTCGCTTCATTACACTAGTGTTGTGACACTATTGTTGATGTCGATATTTTGGTGGACGTGTTGTGAAATTGTGTCGATAGTCGATAGGTTTTTCGTGTAGTGGTGATTTTAAATAATGAAAGTAATGTAAGTTTAAACCAGTATTTTAAACATTTACTAAATATTTAATTTCGTTTGATTATTGAGTAGGATTGTGTGGAATGTTTAAGTTTAATAATGATCAAATGAAAATATTTGTATTTGTTATCTAATTGCTTAGGTTTATTGAAGGTTATTTTAACCCTTTGAGTACCGTCATTATAGACACAATTAAAGAACAATAGGTTGCGGTCACCGCTGTCCTCGCGGTGTTTGACAGTTTCGAATACATATTACCTACGTAGAAATATAAATCAAATCATAATGCTTTCTTAATCTTCTTTTGTAAAAGATTAGACGTAATGGGTACTAGGTGAACTAACAAGACTATGTAACTGAAAATTGTATTGTGAACCTGATTGGAAAAGAGTAACCTACAGAGTTTTTTGCTCGTTCTTCTCCATAGGAACACCTTGGAATGAGTCGCGGAGAACCTAACGGGTAACCGGGGCTCCGGCTCGACGTGCAGGAGAAGGAACGGGGTGGTTTTTAGTCAGTAAGAGTCTGACACTCCCTTCCGCCTCACCCAGGCGGGAGCAGTCATTCGATGATTTTCCCCCCTTAAAAAAAAAAAAAAAAACACCTTGGAATGAGCAACTAGCTTCACTTTAAAATTTTGGTTGACGTGCCTTCCTGGTCTAATTGAAATAAATGATTTCGACTTTGACTTTGACTTTGTATACAGTAACTAATAATTAATATTCGTCCATTTTTGGTGTAATCCTTTTAAAGAAAGTATTGTAGTCGACATAATTTTAATAATGCACCACAATATGTAACGTATTGTACTAATTTGTATGACCTTTTGACAGACAATTACTTCTTGACCCTTTCATCAATATCAACACCGACAGTTTAAGGTAAAAAGGCGTTGTCTACCAAATTCCTAATTCATAATCTATCGACATCGATAACGGTGTCAGCACACCACTACGCCCAAACCGGTCCGGGGTATAATCATGTATGTAGGCAACATTACGTCACTCCCGTGCCATCGCGTCGTAATACATTACACGATTTTTTTCAAGTCGGTCTATTCATATTGGGAAATGCGTGGTGAAATTATTTGCTTAGTAATCCTACTATTAGCGAGACCTATTGTGGTGCAAGATACTACGTGTGTCGCCTGGACAGTCAACCTCGCTACATCCTTGTTGACTGGACATCTACACTACATGAGCTGCTGTTTACATGTGAACATTAGCTCATGACGATACCTAAGTACGTGTGTCGCCTGGCCAGTCAACCTCGCTACATCCTTGTTGACTGGACATCTACACTACATGAGCTGCTGTTTACATGTGAACATTAGCTCATGACGATACCTAAGTACGTGTGTCGCCTGGACAGTCAACCTCGCTACATCCTTGTTGACTGGACATCTACACTACATGAGCTGCTGTTTACATGTGAACATTAGCTCATGACGATACCTAAGTACGTGTGTCGCCTGGACAGTCAACCTCGCTACATCCTTGTTGACTGGACATCTACACTACATGAGCTGCTGTTTACATGTGAACATTAGCTCATGACGATACCTAAGTACGTGTGTCGCCTGGACAGTCAACCTCGCTACATCCTTGTTGACTGGACATCTACACTACATGAGCTGCTGTTTACATGTGAACATTAGCTCATGACGAAACCTAAGTACGTGTGGCGCCTGGACAGTCAACCTCGCTGCATCCTTGTTGACTGGACATCTACACTACATGAGCTGCTGTTTACATGTGAACATTAGCTCATGACGATACCTAAGTACGTGTGTCGCCTGGACAGTCAACCTCGCTACATCCTTGTTGACTGGACATCTACACTACATGAGCTGCTGTTTACATGTGAACATTAGCTCATGACGATACCTAAGTACGTGTGTCGCCTGGACAGTCAACCTCGCTACATCCTTGTTGACTGGACATCTACACTACATGAGCTGCTGTTTACATGTGAACATTAGCTCATGACGAAACCTAAGTACGTGTGGCGCCTGGACAGTCAACCTCGCTGCATCCTTGTTGACTGGACATCTACACTACATGAGCTGCTGTTTACATGTGAACATTAGCTCATGACGATACCTAAGTACGTGTGTCGCCTGGACAGTCAACCTCGCTACATCCTTGTTGACTGGACATCTACACTACATGAGCTGCTGTTTACATGTGAACATTAGCTCATGACGATACCTAAGTACGTGTGTCGCCTGGCCAGTCAACCTCGCTACATCCTTGTTGACTGGACATCTACACTACATGAGCTGCTGTTTACATGTGAACATTAGCTCATGACGATACCTAAGTACGTGTGTCGCCTGGACAGTCAACCTCGCTACATCCTTGTTGACTGGACATCTACACTACATGAGCTGCTGTTTACATGTGAACATTAGCTCATGACGATACCTAAGTACGTGTGTCGCCTGGACAGTCAACCTCGCTACATCCTTGTTGACTGGACATCTACACTACATGAGCTGCTGTTTACATGTGAACATTAGCTCATGACGATACCTAAGTACGTGTGTCGCCTGGACAGTCAACCTCGCTACATCCTTGTTGACTGGACATCTACACTACATGAGCTGCTGTTTACATGTGAACATTAGCTCATGACGAAACCTAAGTACGTGTGGCGCCTGGACAGTCAACCTCGCTGCATCCTTGTTGACTGGACATCTACACTACATGAGCTGCTGTTTACATGTGAACATTAGCTCATGACGATACCTAAGTACGTGTGGCCTGGACAGTCAACCTCGCTACATCCTTGTTGACTGGACATCTACACTACATGAGCTGTTTACATGTGAACATTAGCTCATGACGATACCTAAGTACGTGTGTCGCCTGGACAGTCAACCTCGCTACATCCTTGTTGACTGGACATCTACACTACATGAGCTGCTGTTTACATGTGAACATTAGCTCATGACGAAACCTAAGTACGTGTGGCGCCTGGACAGTCAACCTCGCTGCATCCTTGTTGACTGGACATCTACACTACATGAGCTGCTGTTTACATGTGAACATTAGCTCATGACGATACCTAAGTACGTGTGGCGCCTGGACAGTCAACCTCGCTACATCCTTGTTGACTGGACATCTACACTACATGAGCTGCTGTTTACATGTGAACATTAGCTCATGACGATACCTAAGTACGTGTGTCGCCTGGACAGTCAACCTCGCTACATCCTTGTTGACTGGACATCTACACTACATGAGCTGCTGTTTACATGTGAACATTAGCTCATGACGAAACCTAAGTACGTGTGGCGCCTGGACAGTCAACCTCGCTACATCCTTGTTGACTGGACATCTACACTACATGAGCTGCTGTTTACATGTGAACATTAGCTCATGACGATACCTAAGTACGTGTGCGCCTGGACAGTCAACCTCGCTACATCCTTGTTGACTGGACATCTACACTACATGAGCTGCTGTTTACATGTGAACATTAGCTCATGACGATACCTAAGTACGTGTGTCGCCTGGACAGTCAACCTCGCTACATCCTTGTTGACTGGACATCTACACTACATGAGCTGCTGTTTACATGTGAACATTAGCTCATGACGAACCTAAGTACGTGTGGCGCCTGGACAGTCAACCTCGCTGCATCCTTGTTGACTGGACATCTACACTACATGAGCTGCTGTTTACATGTGAACATTAGCTCATGACGATACCTAAGTACGTGTCGCCTGGACAGTCAACCTCGCTACATCCTTGTTGACTGGACATCTACACTACATGAGCTGCTGTTTACATGTGAACATTAGCTCATGACGATACCTAAGTACGTGTGTCGCCTGGACAGTCAACCTCGCTACATCCTTGTTGACTGGACATCTACACTACATGAGCTGCTGTTTACATGTGAACATTAGCTCATGACGATACCTAAGTACGTGTGTCGCCTGGACAGTCAACCTCGCTACATCCTTGTTGACTGGACATCTACACTACATGAGCTGCTGTTTACATGTGAACATTAGCTCATGACGATACCTAAGTACGTGTGTCGCCTGGACAGTCAACCTCGCTACATCCTTGTTGACTGGACATCTACACTACATGAGCTGCTGTTTACATGTGAACATTAGCTCATGACGAACCTAAGTACGTGTGTCGCCTGGACAGTCAACCTCGCTACATCCTTGTTGACTGGACATCTACACTACATGAGCTGCTGTTTACATGTGAACATTAGCTCATGACGAACCTAAGTACGTGTGGCGCCTGGACAGTCAACCTCGCTGCATCCTTGTTGACTGGACATCTACACTACATGAGCTGCTGTTTACATGTGAACATTAGCTCATGACGATACCTAAGTACGTGTGTCGCCTGGACAGTCAACCTCGCTACATCCTTGTTGACTGGACATCTACACTACATGAGCTGCTGTTTACATGTGAACATTAGCTCATGACGATACCTAAGTACGTGTGTCGCCTGGACAGTCAACCTCGCTACATCCTTGTTGACTGGACATCTACACTACATGAGCTGCTGTTTACATGTGAACATTAGCTCATGACGATACCTAAGTACGTGTGTCGCCTGGACAGTCAACCTCGCTACATCCTTGTTGACTGGACATCTACACTACATGAGCTGCTGTTTACATAATTCTAGAAACTAAATATTACAGAATTGTAAAACTCAGTTCTTTTGTGTGACCACGGATTCAAATGGTACCAGGATCTTATAGACAAGTTACTCTTGTTTATAATATTATGGCAGATGCGCATATTAAGGTGCAGAGCAGCACATGTAACTGTAGTGCTACCACGGCCTAGGGACTCGTAAGTACACAAAACTGCGATGCGTCGTCGCATCGCATAAATGTGCGAGCTCCCTCTACGCATCGCAAGAACTTGCGAATTGATTCGCATCGCGCATCAAAATCTTATCTTCCCAAAATCTTTTTTGTATCTTTTTCCTGTATCTCCTAAGCAATAACAGAAGTGCACACTTCTGTTTACGATCCGTGTCACGACCTAGTTTTCAATTTAAAATACGTTTAGTACGGTTGACGGTCGTCGAAGGTATGGTCACCCTGGGAGACGCCTTGTCGCATGAAATCGCGTCACAGCAATTCGTGTCGTAATTATCTGCGTTACGAATTCACATCGCAGTTTTGTGTACGAGCCCTTAAGCGTGAAACAAAGACAGCGTTGTGAGCCACCATGTGTTGTTACAGGAGGCACAATCATCCCCCTTCCCACTATCCAGAATCTTCTCACCTCCTCCTCAAACCTCCTTAAATCTTATACAAGGTCCAAAAGGCGACAACGCACTAGTAACTCCTCTAGTGTTCCGGGTATCCATTGGCGACGCCGATTGCTTACCATCAGAGGGGACTTACTCTTGAATCCAATTCCGATCGATCGGTTATGTTATGTTATGTATTGTCAGTATGTTAGAGTGATTCTTAAGGAAGGTTTATTTGTATAATAAATGCATATTGCACCCGTGCGAAGCCGAGGCGGGTCGCTAGTGTAGTATAAAACAAAGTCGCTATCCGCCGTCTGTCTGTCCCTATGTATGCTTAGATCTTTAAAACTACGCAACGGATTTTGATGCGGTTTTTTTAATAGATAGAGTGATTCTTAAGGAAGGTTTATATGAATAATACATGCATATTGCACGCGTGCGAAGCCGAGGCGGGTCGCTAGTAAATATATGTATGGACCAAGGAAAGTAGGGACCCAATTTTATCGATGAAGCCCTACAAGTAATGGAAGTATCGATTCTATCAATTAAGTATCAGCTACTGTAATTTCAGTTACGGCTTCAGCAGTTATTTAGGGCGGTTAACGAACAAGTTAGCGAAGTCGGTCAACTTGATTGAACCAGTCATTATTTATATATTGATCCGTGGTGTGAGTTTAAATGTTTAATCCGATGATCCTGTTTAAATGTTCAGTGGAATGTATTTAACTGATTTGACAGGTTCTCTGGCAGTATGAACGTAACACTATGTTAAATAATTTAATTGTTTCGTCAGGTGTAGCTTATTATACGGACCTTGTGGAATCTAGAACATATTTCCGTGCGTTTAGGCGCTTTTGCCATACCTATTATTGGAAGCAAGTATAACAGCTCACACATAGGACCCACTTAGTTTTTAGTCAAATTTGCGTGGTGCTTGGCGACTGGGCTTCACCCAGTTGTACAGTCTCTTTTTTGTGCCTTTAGGCTAAATTCACTCTGTCTCCTGCAGTAATTCAACGAGGGAAGTGGAAATTATAGTATTTTCTTCTTCTCCTCTTATAATATCTTCTGATTCACTTCGTTGCGGGAACCAAGACAGTTATTCATGTCCCTGGGACGCGCCGGACTTCAGTGTTCCGGTGTTTTCATGGTTATCTCTATTGTAGATCCTGGCTTACAGGAGTTGCAGCGGTTTTGGGAGGTTGTGGCGGGCTTGTCCCTTAAAAAAATGATTTGACAGGTTTTAAGTTTTATCCTTAAAAAGGTTATTTCACAGAATTATCTGACTATCCTACTTCCTACTAATATTATAATATAATATCGCGTCTTATATCCCCATATATAGTATATAGACAGTAGAATACATCTATCACCACCTCTACTCTTCCGGTGGGTGTCGTATACCCGACAATGTAATTTATTTAGTATATGTCTTACAAACGTTATAATATAAATATACTAATATTTTACTTAGATATTATAAATTAACAATTTCTGTTATTATTGCTTCACTCATTGTTCCTTTTTGAGGCAAACTTGCCACAACCTCCCAAAACCACTGCAACTCCTGTGCACCAGGATCTACAGTAGATACAACCATGCAAACACCGGAACACTGAAGTCCAACGTCCCAGGGATATGAACAACTGTCTTGGATCCCGCAACGAAATAAATGAGAAGATATTATAAGAGGAGAAGCAAAGGAATAGTTCTACTCCTTTTTCATTATTTTTTATTATGAGAATACTTTAAGTGTGGGAGAGCCATGCTTCGACATGAATGGGCCGGCTCGACCGGTGTGATACCACGGCCTCACAGAAGACCGCCGTAAAACAACGTTGTGTTTCGTCGTGTGAGTGAGCTTACCGGAGGCACAATTACCCCCCCCCCCCCCCTATTCCCCAAACCCTGAATCCCCAACAATCCTCAATTTCCTAATCCAGAAGGCCGGTAACGCACTTGTAACGCCTCTGGTGTTGCGTGTGTTCATAGGCGACCCCGATTGCTTACCATCAGGTGATCCGTCTGCTCGTTTAGCGGCTTAACCCATAAAAAAAAAAATGTATGTTAATGATAAGAGGTGGTGCCTACAGCCCTAGATTATAGTATGAAGTCATTTTGTCTAGTTGTATAAGTCATGTGTATTCCTAAATAGAGCAGTATCGATTTGTGCATCGCAATGAACGCATATCGGCCTACTGTTTTACTGATACTTACCTAAGAAAATACACCAAAAATATACCTCAGATAACAAGTGCATAAGGTCTATAAAAACAAATTGAGTAAGTATCTATCATCTTTAGTGTATTAGGTAACTAAAAATCGCGGGCTACTCACGTGAATATACTGAGAAAAGCTCTACTAGTTTCGAACCACAGAGGGGTTCTTCCTCATGAGCAGCGTGCGCGGTCGCGGCGGTGTCGCGCAGCCTACTTTTAATTTTAATACAAATATATATTCACGTGAGTAAGTAACCCGCGATTTTTAGTTAATTTAGTATGTTTCATGATAGTTATTATAAAAACATCTTTAGTGTATTTAGTTAGGATAAAATTATGTCCAATAGCCATAAGGTCAATGTTCTTTTTATGGAATAGGGCAACGAGCAGACGGATCACCTGATGGTAAGCGATCAGCGCCGCCCATGGACACCCGCAACGCCAGAGACACAGGTGCGTTACCGGGCGTTTAAAAAGGAATACGCTCTTTTCTTGAAGGTTTAGAGGTCGTATGGGTTCGGAAATACTACTTACGACAGATCATTCTACAGTTTTGATGTGCGAACCAGAAAGCTACGAGAGAAGCGCGCAATATATTGCAACTTAGATCTATTTTTCATTGGATTCATCTTTATCAAAATAATCAAGTATTATTTAGAGCAATTGTCGCATGGCACTGCCATCTAGTTTGGTAATTACGAACTTCAACCGCAATAATATTTTTGCAATCTATGATCGAATACCGGAACTACTAGCACTCAAAACTTCAACTACTCCACACAAGATGGCGGTAGCACTAGCATAAATAACAAACATTGCAAAATAATCAATGTTAACATTCCATTACGACACACAGTGCTGTTATATTTGCGTAATATTGTTTTATGACGCATTTCTTACGTCACATTGTCCGATTCTACGCTTGGACGGGCGCGAATTTGATTATATGAGTAAAACGAAGGTCGAATCTACTAAACTATGGGTGTAACATGTAGCTATGACCATAAAAGTCAGTTGTTTTATTGCGAAAACTTTATAATGATAAATAATAGCAAACGTGTTTGCGTGTAACAAGTATCTAAGTTTATTTATGACTTACTAGCTTTACCCGAGGCTTCGCTCGCGTCACAAAAGGAAAAAAGCAGCCTGTGACATAATAATATACCAAGACACACAGCGCCATCTATACCAATACTTTTATTTTGCCTCGGAAATATCAATTTTTTCCGGGATAAAAGTACCCTATTATTTAATCCGGACTTCTAACTTTACGTCTGCAAAATTTCAAAGCAATCGGTTTAGTAGTTACGGCGTGAAAGCAGAACAAACAAACAAACACACTCACTTTCCGATTTATACCTAATATAAGTAAGTATAATAGAATAAGTGCTAATATTAGATACTTATTAATATTCGAAGCACTAAAAATAAACAGAAACCAGATTGCAGCATTAAGTCAAAAGAAATTGACTAATATAAGTTTAAATAAATGCATTTTTATTCATATGACTACACTGTTAACGCGGCTGGGCAAAAATGCCGCTCAACGTGTCGCGGGTTCGATTCTGCAACGGAACAACTCTTTGTGTGATGCACAGATTGTTGCTTCGGATCTGGGTGTCACGACACAGGAGAAAATCAGAGTGTGGAGCAACGTTCTTTTAATAAAATATATATCAATGCATTTTATTTTTTATCAATATCTCATATCAAAACGAACACTAAAACACTCGGAATTTAGGAAACCAGCCTATCTGGAAGGAAATCATCGGAGGAAGACTTTTTTAAGGGCAGGAATTATCGAATGACATCTCCCGCCTGGGTGAGGCGGGAGGGGAGTGTCAGACTTTTACTGACTAAAAGCCACCCCATTCCTACTCCTGCGCCTCGAGCCGGAGCCCCGGTAACCTTTTACTTTCTCCGCGGCTCCGTATCGGCATCAGCCTTATTGAGCCCCATCCGTGGTGGTCTGATAGCTCTTTGAGGCGCGTGCTGATTGGAGGCAGATTAGGTAGCCGACAACGCACTTGCTAATCCTACGGTGTTGCGAGCCGGACCGGTTGCTTACCATCAGATCAGGTGATCCGTCTGCTCGTGTACCAACTTATCCTATAAAAAAGGAAATGTTCAGTTAATTTATTACTGACCAATTTTGACATAGAGTGTGGTATCGCATTACGTAAAAATCAAAGTAAAAAAAAACTGGGTTTAAAAAAACTGGGTTTAAAAAAAAACTAATAATACATTACGGTATTTAATGCTACTTTAAAATGTAACACCCTAAATGCTACTTTAAAATATATCACTAATTATGTCTCATATAATAGGGGCTGAGCCTATTGCCATATACCGGGCAACCCGCATTGAGCAAGCGTGGTGATTAATGCTCAACAAACCTTATCCGTGTGATCTGCAGTGGGCACTTCATCCAGAACTGCGTTAGCATTGGGCTATTGAATTCAAAACTGAACATTTTCGGCCACTCAACCGAGGTTACCCAGAGCTGCGGACGATCTACCCAGTTACCGTGGCTCCTGCCCTATCCAGGAGTAGAAACGAGGTAGTGTATAGTCAGTAAGAGTCTGACACTCTCGCCTCACCCAAACCGGGAGCAGTCATTGGACGACTTTCTCCTCTTAAAATAAAACCAACGAGGTCACAACCAAACAAAAGCTTAGATGTGCTAAAAGTTAAGATGAAACCATCAAAGGTTACAGTGTAACCATGACCTGAAGTCCTTGATGGTAAGTTTAATGATTTGTTTGATAAAGGAGTCCAAACACGTGATCTTTGATAGTTAATTTTTAACTCGTTAGCATTGAGATTGAATACACGTGATTTATTGTGTATGAGTCTACTAACTTAAGGGCTTGTACACAAAACTGCGATGCGATGCGAATTCGCAACGCAGAATAATATGATGCGAATTGCTGCGATGTGATTTCGTGCGACAAGGCGTCTCCCAGGGTGACCATTCCTTCGACGACCGTCAACCGTACTAAACGTATTTTAAATTGAAAACTAGGTCGTGACATGGATCGTAAACAGAAGTGTGCACTTCTGTTATTGCTTAGGAGATACAGGAAAAAGAAACAAAGAAGATTTTGGGAAGATAAGAATTGAATGTGCGATGCGAATCAATTCGCAAGTTCTTGCGATGCGTTGAGGGAGCTCGCACATTTTTGCAATACGTCGTCGCATCGCAGCTTCGTGTACGAGTCCTAAGCTATTGGCTTTGTATGTGCATAAAAAACTGTTTTGATCAGGGAATCGTTACATCATCACATCGACAGCCTATAAAGGGCCTTTTCTTTTTTTTTTTTTGAGGGGGGAAAATCATCCAATGACTTGAAGTTAGGCAAGATAATCGCACTTCTTTTTTTACAAGTCCGCCAAATACATTAAAACTTTACCCGTTTCGGGAATCGAATATGTGATCTCTTAGCAGACACATTGCTGACACAGACTGAATCACAGGTCACTACACATAAAAGTATTAGAAGGACAACTTCTTTCAAAATTCAAAAGGTCTTAATTATAAATCAAAATACACGAGGTTTTTTTTGGGGCCCGTAGTCAAATTATGAATAACCATTTGCATTCGGGGCCCTTGACTGTGGCGTTCGAAACCTGGCAAGTACCAATGTGATATTTTCCGAATTATATGTACTTTCCAAGATTATTTAGACACCACTGACAAACGGTAAAGGAAAACATCGTGAGGAAACCTGGGCTTATAATTTCTAATTATAAGTTTGTAATCGCCAACCCGCATTGAGCAAGCGTGGTGAGTAAAATCTTCTCCGTGTGAGAAGAGGTCAGCAATGTGATATACTTATAGTCTGATGATGATGATGATGATGATGATGATAATGAGTTTTTAGGTACACCACTGCCTATCTTTGGCAATAGGCTCACCCCCTATTCCATGGGACTCATATACATAACTGATAAAAAGGGGGATTAACATTTTAATATTCATGTCTTTTAAAGGGGGAAAATCATCCAATGACTTCTTCCGCCCGGGTGAGACGAGAGGGAGTGTCAGACTATTACTGGCTAAACACCACCCCGTTCCTTCTCCTGCACTTCGAGCCGGAGACCCGGCAAACCCTTAAGTCCTCCGCAGCTTCGTAAAATGTTCATGTCTGACTATATCTTCGGAGAAACAAAGATATACGTAATGATAGGATGTTATGCTTCAGTGGTTTAGGCGTAAGAGCGTAACAGATATAATTTAGCACCTATTTATAATGTCGATATACATATATATAATAAAATACAGATACGATTTCTCTTTTAACTTCCTTTTATCCGCGACTCTGCTTGCGTGAATGGTCTATTAAAGTAAAGCTAAGTGCCACACATGTTCACGTGTGGAAGAGCCATGCTTCGGCACTGGTATGTCGGCTCGACCCAATTGATATCAGAGCCTCATAGTACAGCGGCGTGAAACAACGCTACCATTGCGTATCGGAGTGTGTGATGCTACCGGAGACCCAAATTTCTCCCGTCCCAATCTCCTTAATCCCCGAACCGATTGCTTACCATCAGGTGATCCGTCTGCTCGTTTACTGGCTTATCCCATAAAAACGTTGCGCGGCAGCCAGTTGCCAAGCCACCGCGCCAATCGTGCCGTCAGATTGTATATGAATACGGAACCTTACACCTAAGTATTCGACTCATGCTTGACCAATTTCCGAATTTGTCCCAGTTAGGTACAAGTTGTGTGGCCGCGGGCGACAGTTGCGTATATAACTTCAAGGTCGAACACAAATCAAAAACGGCATCCATTTAAAATATTTTGGGCTATTTATAAAACTACTCATTGATATTTTAAGAGTGGGAGAGCCATGCTTCATCGGCACGATTTGGCCGGCTCGACCGGAGTGATTCCACGGCCGAGCAGAAAACCGACGTGAAGCAACGCTTGCGTTGTGTTTCGTCGTGTGAGTGAGGTTACCGGAGGTCTAATTACTCCCCCTCCCATTCCCCAATCTCCCCAATTTCTGAATTACCAGCAATTCTCAAACTCCCAATCCCCAAAAGGCCGGTAACGCACTTGTATAGTCCAGGTGTCCAAGGACGACGCCGACTGCTTACCGTCAGGTGATCGAAACTTCCATGTCCGGTGAGGACCTGCGTCAGGCGGTAGGTGAGGACGCCGTAGCGTCTCTAAAGCCACTCCTACAAGAGGGGACTTAACGCTGCAATGGCATCGAAGTGTTAGAGAGCCATGCTTCGGCACGATTGGGCAGGCTCGACCGGAGTGATACCACGGCCGAGCAGAAAACCGACGTGAAACAACGCTTATGTTGTGTTTCGTCGTGTGAGTGAGGTTACCGGAGGCCCAAATACCCTCCCCTTCTCCAATCTCCCCAATTCCTGAATCCTCAACGATCCTCAAACTCCCAATCCCGAAAAGGCCGGTAACGCATTTGTAACGCCTCTGGTGTTCCAGGTGTCAATGGGCGGCGCCGATTGCTTACCATCAGGTGATCCGTCAGCTCGTTTACCGGCTTATGCCATAAAAAAAACGAGCCCAATATAAAAAAAGGTTAGAAGCACCTTTTTTATATGGTACACCCTCTTTTCGCCCTTCTTGCCACCATGGGCGGCGTCGATTGCATACCATCAGGTGACCTTTCTACTGTAATAAAACGATCTGTTATTCTGAGCGACTCGGCGGTTATAAAAAAACCACATTTGAGTCGCAAGAATTTATTTATATAAAATAAATATAATTATACACACTTTAACATCCTAGACTACACTTAGAACCTAACGGGTAACCGGGGCTCCGGCTCGACGTGCAGGAGAAGGAATGGGGTGGTTTTTAGTCAGTAAGAGTCTGACACTCCCTCCCGCCTCACCCAGGCGGGAGCAGTCATTCGGTGATTTACCCCCTTAAAAAAAAGTCGCGCAGTTGCCCTAGTGAAAGGCTATGTCGACCCGGTCTAGATCAGGAATTTGGGCTGTAAACAAACAAGTTGGGCTAGATCCGAAGATCACTATTATATCAGTACCTGAGTCTAGACTAAATCTGCACTTAATTTGGAAAAATAATGATTATTTATAGCAACTAATTGCTGATGTAGAATTTTGTGAATAACGTAAATCAATGCAGTTCTAACATACAGGCAGTTTGGTATGCAGGTCATTAATGTAATAAGCATTCACATTCATTCACATTCTCATATATTTATTCCACTCTAAAAATTACATTTTTAAATACTATTTACAAAACAAAAAATAATATTATAAATATAAAAAAATATATGAGCCGACCAGTAGCTGGAGCATTGTCCAAGCTACCGGTGGTTAGGGCTCCAGAGACAGAAACCTCCTCACGATACGTGCCGTTTCTAGGAGAAATGCCTTCTGTATCAGGTGCTTGATCCATCCACCTAACGCCAGCCTCCTAAGATGGATGTCGACGCTTTTATGGATAAACCCATTGGCCGACACGACTATCGGCACAATGATAGCCGACTCCACCCCAATATCATTCTAAGTCAAAGTCAAAATCATTTATTTCAATTAGACCAGAAAGGCACTTTTGAACGTCAAAAAAAAAATTAAATGTGAAGATATTTGCTCATTCCAAGGTGTAGATTCCTATGGAGAAGATAGAGCAAGAAACTCCATAACTATAATTAGGGTTATAACAGATTGGCGTTGTTTCAGTGGAAAATTAAGTCCTTAGGAAGATTTTGTTCAGAAAATCCCAAATGAGGATTAAAGATTCCCAATGACATCATCCCAATCATTATTTAATTCGAATAATTCCACGTCCAGTCTGCTTACCATCCGTTGTGTAAAGTTGCGCCATGATTTCGTGGGGTTTTCTACAGCAATTAGGTATTGTATCAAAGAAATTCACGTATTCATCATTTTTTTGTGTTAAATATGGCTTTTGCGCAGGCATTTGATTGTATAAGTTCTTTTTATGGCATAAGCCGGTAAACAAGCAGACGGGTCGCCTGATGGTAAGCAATCGGCGTCGCCCATGGACACCTGGAACACCAGAGGCGTTACAAGTGCGTTACCGGCCTTTTGGGGATTAGGAGTTTGAAGATCGTTGGGGATTCAGGGATTGGGGAGATTGGGGAAGTAGAGGGTAATTGGGCCTCCGGTAACCTCACTCACACGACGAAACACAACGCAAGCGTTGCTTCACGTCGGTTTTCTGTAAGGCCGTGGTATCACTCCGGTCGAGCCGGTCCATTCGTGCCGAAGCATGGCTCTCCCACACTTGAACATGATTATTATATTACAAATACCATGATTATTAGTTTTAGTTGAAAGGTCCCTCGTTTTTCGCCCGTAAAAGAGAACAGGGAGCCTCATACCCGTTTTCACCAACACCCCTATACATCACTTAACCAAGAGTTACTAGCATAAGGATCCACCTAACTAACACCTTAGCTGTAAACGTACAGTTCATTTAGGTAACTAGGTTTTAAAGTGTCAATAGGGTAGATGCCAAATATTTATTCTAATGTCCGTCTGGTAGATTATTTTAAAACATTAGACACGTATTTTTTTATTTTCTTACAGAAACGACTACTTTCGACGATATTATATTGATTTGAAATGTCGCATGATGTCACTTCTATGGACATTTTATACTTAGAAATGACGTTTTAGCCCCCACTCCTAAACTTTGATTCGTTATATCTAAGTATTGTTTTATTATACGACAAAATAAAAAAATACGTATCTAATATTTTTTCATTACCTAACTTACGGACTAATTATATTTTTAATTTTCATACCCTGTTATCATCCCAATTATAGGCTGGGGAAAACCAGAATTTTGTTAAGTGTTGCCTGTCTTAGCTTCGGGGTTCTTTAAAATTTACGAGAGCTTGGTATCATAGTTTGGTCCCTTTTGAAAAGGGAAAATCATCGAATGACTCCTCCTACCCTGGGTGAAGCGAGAGAGAGTGTCAGACTCTTACTGAGTAAACAACACCCGTTGCTATTCCCGCTCCGAACAAGTTGCCCCATATACAAACTATGGATCACACAAAGAGTTGTTCCTTTTTGTCTCCGAATGAAATTGAACTGGAAACACATATCGCAGCAGCTTTCTTATATTTTTTGGGCCTACGTTTGACCACTATCTCGCCTGGTGGTAAGCGATGATGCTGTCTACGATGGAGGACGTTAGCTCATAAGCAACCTATTCACTCGGGCCTTGAAGACACCCAGGTTTATACCCTTCAGGAAATACAGAAAAATATCTCAGTAGTAGCACGGAGTCTGGAAATGTGCCCGATATATGGCAATAGGCTCACCCCCTATTACATGGGACTCATAACATTAATAGTGAAAAGTGGGTGTTACTTACATTATACAGTGGCATTAAGTGCCGCAATGTGCACCTCTGCTTACACCTTCAGGGATAAAAGGCGTGAAGTTAAGTCATGTTATGTGAAATACAGGCTCTGGCAAAGAATTCCACTCCTTGGCGTACTCACAGGAAAGCGGAGCGCAAAGCCACTGCACCGTGCAGTTGAAATGTAACTCGGCAGTCGCACTTGCGACCACTCGGCCAACCAGGCAGTCAGAATTTCAGCAATTTATGGTAATTGGGTCGATCCCTATTACCTAAATGGGACAAGTTACAAAATATTTTAATTGCGTCTTTAAAATTTTTACCATTATAATTAGTAATAGTAGCTATTAGTTAATTTGTGGTATGCTTTTAATAATGTCGCGGAGAACCTAATGGGTAACCGGGGCTCCGGCTCGACGTGCAGGAGAAAGAACGGGGTGGTTTTTAGTCAGTAAGAGTCTAACACTCCCTCCCGCCTCACCCAGACGGGAGCAGTCATTTTTTATTTATTTATTTAACTTTATGCAACTAGAGTACATAGGCGGGCTTAATGCCGTGGGCATTCTTACTAGCCAACCTTCAGGTGATGCAGTGAGAGCGTGATCGGTGCAATAACTTATTCGATGATCTTCTAAAAAATGCTTTTAATAATAATAATAATATGAACATACACATTCCTTTGGACTGAAAGAAGCTTGTTTTAAGAAACCCACAAGGAGAGTGGGGATCTGCTTATAACACAAGGCTGATTCTGAGGCTCATAAAACCTAGATAGCGCCCCAGGCAAGCACCTTATTTATACACATAATATAACATCACGCCTTTTATCCCCGAAGGGATAGGCTAAGGTGCACATTATGCCACTGTACAATGTAACACCCACTTTTCACTATTTATGTTATGAGTCCCATGTAATAAGGGGTGAGCCTATTGCCATATACCGGGCACAATTCCAGACTCCGTGCTACTACTGAGATTTTTTTAAAACCCAGTAATACTTAGACCCGGGAATCGAACCCGAGACCCCTTGCCAGAGGCAGTCTTCCAGCAGCTCATACATACATACATAATTTCACGCCTGTCTCCCATGGGTGCAGCCAGAAACTATGGCACACCAATAATTGTTACAATTCCTGCATACCTCCTTCGCTTCATCATCAGTCATCAATCTTTCATGCATGCTCATCTCCTGCAGTAATTCACCGAGGGAAGTGGAAACTATCGTTTTTGTTTTCCTCTAATATTATAATATCTTCTGATTCAGTTCGTTGCGGGAACCAAGACAGTTACTCATGTCCATGGGACGAGAGAGAGAGTGTGGTTAGTATGGACCCCCTGGAGTCTAGAACAAATTTCTGTGCGGCGCTTTTGCCATACCTATTGTTGGAAGCAAGTATAACAGCTCACACATAGGACCCACTTAGATTTTAGTCAAATTTCTGTGGTGCTTGGCGACTGGGCTTCACCCAGTTGAAGTGCAGTCTCTTTTTATGCCTTTAGGCTTAATTCACTCTGTCTCCTGCAGTAATTCACCGAGGGAAGTGGAAACGGTCGTTTTTTTCTTCTCCTCTTATAACATCTTCTGATTCACTTCTTTGCGGGAACCAAGACAGTTGTTCATGTCCCTGGGACGTTGGACTTCAGTGTTCCGGTGTTTGCATGGTTGTATCTACTGTAGATCCCGGTGTACAGGAGTTGTTGCAGTTTTGGAAGATTGTGGCGGACTTTCCTTTTCGAAGACATCTATGTCCAGCAGTGTATAGAAATGGGCTATAGAAATGACACGTATACACGTCAAGCTACACATAACCAGTATAAACTGAGCTTCGAATGTGGGCAAAAATCATACAAAGTGAGATCATGATTAACTGGTATATTTTGCTCCATGCATCGACCAAAATATACCAGTATAAACTGAGCTTCGAATGTTGGCAAAGTTCATACAAAGAGAGACCATGATTAACTGGTTATATCTACATTGCATCAAGCTATTAAAAACCAGTATAAACTGAGCTTCGAATGTTGGCAAAGTTCATACAAAGAGAGATCATGATTAACTGGTTTATATTTGCTCCATGCAT